GTGCTTGTTAAACTGCTGTCCCCACAGGGTACTGTGCTTGTTAAACTGCTGTCCCCACAGGGTACTGTGCTTGTTAAACTGATGTCCCCACAGGGTACTGTGCTTGTTAAACTGCTGTCCCCACAGGGTACTGTGCTTGTTAAACTGATGTCCCCACAGGGTACTGTGCTTGTTAAACTGATGTCCCCACAGGGTACTGTGCTTGTTAAACTGCTGTCCCCACAGGGTACTGTGCTTGTTAAACTGCTGTCCCCACAGGGTACTGTGCTTGTTAAACTGATGTCCCCACAGGGTGCTGTGCTTGTTAAACTGATGTCCCCACAGGGTGCTGTGCTTGTTAAACTGCTGTACCCACAGGGTACTGTGCTTGTTAAACTGATGTCCCCACAGGGTGCTGTGCTTGTTAAACTGATGTCCCCACAGGGTGCTGTGCTTGTTAAACTGCTGTCCCCACAGGGTACTGTGCTTGTTAAACTGATGTCCCCACAGGGTGCTGTGCTTGTTAAACTGCTGTCCCCACAGGGTACTGTGCTTGTTAAACTGATGTCCCCACAGGGTGCTGTGCTTGTTAAACTGATGTCCCCACAGGGTGCTGTGCTTGTTAAACTGATGTCCCCACAGGGTGCTGTGCTTGTTAAACTGCTGTACCCACAGGGTACTGTGCTTGTTCCAATACTGTCCCCGCAAGGGTGCTGTGTTTGCCTTCTGTTCTACTACGTCTACTATTGTCCGTGGCACGTGGTTGGCCACCCTTAATTTGAATAAATTTATTAAGTTTATCAAGAACCATAATTAAAAGAAAGCCTAAAGCGTTTTCTAGTTATTATTACATATGCTGGAACTGGATGAAAGGAGAATTGTAATAGTGAATGAAGCCAAGAGAAAGGTATGAATAATGAAAGCTGGCCGCCGATAACGTGAATGAGAATCATAGTTTTGTTGAACATGGCTGAAGAGTAGCGGCAGCGAGAAACTTAAATACAGCTAAAGCAGTAATCCAGAGTGAAGAATGGATGAATTTTGTTGTTAAAAACACAGATATGTGCATGAAATTTACGCCGTCATCCCCTAGACTATATGAACGGTTACATGCTGTCTTCAGCAGGCGAGGAGTCACAATAACGTGGCTGAAGTATGTTGACCAGACCACACACTAGAAAGTGAAGGGACGACGACGACGTTTCGGTCCGTCCTGGACTATTCTCAAGTCGATTGTGACTCGATTGTGACTTCACAATCGACTTGAGAATGGTCCAGGACGGACCGAAACGTCGTCGTCGTCCCTTCACTTTCTAGTGTGTGGTCTGGTCAACATGCTGTCTTCAGTTTGCTACGTGGTACTAAAAACTTCCCATCTCGTGGGATTGTTAATATTTCTGGGGGTATGATTAACACAGTACTCATCATATTTGATGAGTAGATTGGACTGTTAAACTTTGGATGCATTGAGTTCCTGACTCATACGTCAGGCTGCGAGCAGCCGCGTCCAACAGCCTGGTTGACCAGTCCAGCAAGGAGGAGGCCTGGTCGAGGACCGGGCCGCGGGGACGCTAAGCCCCGGAATCATCACAAGGTAACCGTAGGGGAATCATAACAACTCATCTTCTATTTCGTTTAATATAATTAGTTATAAATGTCAACATATGTAACACATCTTTTATATGGAAAATCCTTCAATTTTAATCCCTTAATTTGAAGAAAAAAAAAAAAAAAATATATATATATATATATATATATATATATATATATATATATATATATATATATATATATATATATATATATATATATATATATATATATATATATATATATGTCGCTATAATTGTTTCAACTAAACATGGTGACCCAACACGAGCAGCGAGCTTTAAGGCGAGGAACTCTGTGATGGCCACAAGCAAGGTGAGATTATGGCCATATATATACGGGAAAACTTGCGGTAAAATTAGCGCCCACACCAAGGAAGACATTTTCCCCGAGGAAATTGAGTCCGGGCGAGGCCGGGCATCTTCACCAGCTGGTGGTGGTGGTGGTGGTGGTGGTGGTGGTGGTGCAGCTGGTGGTGGTGCAGCTGGTGGTGGTGCAGCTGGTGGTGGTGCAGCTGGTGGTGGTGCTGGTGGTGGTGGTGGTGCAGCTGGTGGTGGTGGTGGTGCAGCTGGTGGTGGTGGTGGTGCAGCTGGTGGTGGTGCAGCTGGTGGTGCAGGTGGTGGTGCAGCTAGAACTGTACAGCTTTTAGCCAAGACTGTCACTCCCCATATTGGTGGGACGGAATGTTGAAGCATTGAAGTGCTGCATTGCTGTTTGATGCAGTGTGGTGTAGTGAGGTGTGGCGTGGTGTGGCGTGGTGTAGTGAGGTGTGAGAGTACACTGTGAGAGAGGAGAGAGAGAGAGAGCGGGCCGGGCCGTGCATCATACCTGACAGCTTCATCACCGCCTCACCCTTCCTCGAATGATTGAATTATCTCCTGGTATGAACCCCTTCTTGTCCCTTTCTCCTGCCCCCCCCCCCCCCCTTCTCCCACTTGCTGTCTCCACCACTTTATGTCCCATCTGCCCGCCCTACTTTCCCCCTCCTTCCATGGCTCCATTTCCTTTCTGCCCTGTTCCTTGAGAGAGAACAAGGAGAGAACCTTGTTCTCTCCTTGTAGTTCTGTCGTTCCTTGGTATCTCACCAACCTGTCCTCTTAGAAAGAACGTCGCATTTCGTTCGTATGCGTTACATGAGGCCGAAAATGGCAGCGGCTGGCGAAAGTGACGTACTGTCCCGTTTTCTGTTTTAGGTCCTCTGGTTGGTTAGAAGAGAACACTTTAAACTGACCGTTTTCTTGTCGTCGGGAAACCTTAGGCGCTCCTCTTACTGCCTTGCTCTTTATTCTTGGCGTGTGTGTACCTTTGCTGTCAGCCATTACTGCCCCCCCTCTCCCCCCTCCCCCCCCCTCTATGCGTGCATACCAGTATGCCTAATACTTCCTTCCCCAAGAAACGTGACTCCGGCCAACTTTCCCCAAGCGGGCATTCTGCATGCACCTTATTAATGAGAGGTCTTCGCCCCTTCTCTAATATTACTGGGTTTTTGTTGACCCTAAAGTGTTTGGTGAGAGAACCGGAGGGGGCAGTGAGGCTGGTGTAGCTGAGGCTGGGGTGGTGAGGCTGAGGTGTAGAGAGCCAGAGACAAGTGGAGTGAGAGAACAAGTGGCATTATAGAGGTGTTACTATGGCATTAATGGCAGGATCTGGAGCCGTGTAGTGGAAGCTTAATGGAATTTAGAAGGGAAGAGTATGGTGGAGGATGAGAGAAGGCGCAGGGGGAAAGGATGCAGGAGGATACAATTCAAGAAGAGGAGGAAATTTAAGAAAAGAGAAGAGGAGGGAAAAGATGAGGGAGGGAAGTGATTGATGACGGAGGGGTGATGGAGTGATACAAGTAGGACAACTCTGAGGGGTAAGATGTCGTGAGACGAGACAAGAAGGTTTAAAGTAGACTTGACTGGACAATCGACTTGAGAATGGTCCAGGACGGACCGAAGCGTCGTCGTCGTCCCTTCACCTTCTGGCGTGTGGTCTGGTCAACATACTTCAGCCACGTTATTGTGACTCCTCGCCTGCAGAAGGTTTAAACATTCTTGGCGGCCACCATTTGTTTAGGCTCCGTGACTTGTTGCCGTCTTTGGACTGTTACTCTGCGATTTGTTCAACATCGAATGTCACTTTCCCTCTCCTTGTGCGTCTGTCGTTAAGACAGCTGGTGATGTGGCTGCTGCTTCTGCTGCTGCTTCAGCTACTATTAATGCTGCTGTCGATTCTAATAATGCTGCTGTTTACTAACACTGCCCAACCACTGCTGCTGATGCTGCTGACGCTAATGATGCTCCCATTGCTTCTAATGCTGCTGCTGCTGTCATTTCTACCAATGCCGCTACTGAGGCTACAAAAGTAATCACTACATTTACCAGTTATTGCTCTGTTCGTATCCCTGAAAGTGATAACCTCTAGTAGCTGGCGGAGCATTTATAAATATAACCAACCTTTACCACACAGGTTAATGTTATCCTCTAACGTGTAAGCCTTTCTTGTGTTTGTCCACGGCTAAGAATATGATATAGATTAGTATCTATAATTACTTAATTGAACCGATGCTTGAGGGATTATTAGCGGAAAGTGTAGCGAGAGAGAGAGAGAGAGAGAGAGAGAGAGAGAGAGAGAGAGAGAGAGAGAGAGAGAGAGAGAGAGAGAGAGTGAGTGTGTGAGAGTGTGAATCTCTCTCACTCTTGAGACGTTAACCTCCAACGCTAAGACAGACAAACGTTATATTTGATGGCTACTATATAGGTAATTATAACTATGAAATATTATTATAAGAATTATTCTCTCGTGTAAATAAAAAAATGTACTTGAAGATTATGAGCGTAACTACTACAACTGTATAACTATTTAATGTTGTTCATTTGAGTTGATTGGCATAGTACATTGTAATGGTTGACGGTTGGGTGCAGGTGTGATGCCACCTGCCTGCCTGGCACTGTGCCACAGCAACACCTGCTGGCACTGTGCCACAGCAACACCTGCTGGCACTGTGCCACAGCAACACCTGCTGGTACTGTGCCACAGCAACACCTGCTGGCACTGTGCCACAGCAACACCTGCTGGTACTGTGTCACAGCAACACCTGCTGGCACTGTGCCACAGCAACACCTGGCACTGTGCCACAGCAACACCTGCTGGCACTGTGCCACAGCAACACCTGCTGGCACTGTGCCACAGCAACACCTGCTGGTACTGTGTCACAGCAACACCTGCTGGCACTGTGCCACAGCAACACCTGCTGGCACTGTGCCACAGCAACACCTGCTGGCACTGTGCCACAGCAACACCTGCTGGATGACACCCAGGTGAGGTAAACTTTAAATAACTTTTACACGGAATATTATTAATTAATAATTAAATTTTTAAAATAATTATTTTATCAATAATTAAAATATGAGTATTTTTGTTTCTTGCAGGAATAGCAGCACTAATAGGCGAGAGCCGCAACAGCTGCAGCAGCAACAGCAGCAGCAGCAGCAGCCCAACAGTGGAGAGCAGTCCCCACAGCAGCAGCAGCAGCTGCTGGAGACAGCGTCGGCTGAGACGACTAGGAGTCCTGACCATCTACGTCATGAAGATGGTAAGTTGTTCCCTGACCTTATCGTAGTACTGATAACTTGGGTTGCTTGCTGGACCCCGTGTTGTTTCCAGCGTAACCTAACCACCGTGCCTCTGTGTTAAGGTATCTTCCCCTCTCTTGTATTAGTCTACATTACATTCCTTCCGCTGAATACAGTATATACATGTTGGTCTCTGTTTATACATTATGTGGACTATACCTTCCAGTCACCATGTATAAACTCCGGTTAATATATCTACGTTTCGGCTATTATACATAATATACATTCCAGTGTATGAATACACACTCTGGCGCCTCTGTATATCCCTAATTGCCGCGGTCCTCAGCCCTCTCTACGGGGAAGGTGGATCTGTGGAGGTTGAATTTCTTTTAAATTGCTCTCCAAAACGGGTAATTTATACGACTAAGACAATCCGGCCATGATATGCTGCAGCCCCAGCTTTACCCACGATACCTGTGAAGAGCCTCCTGGCGGGTGATATGATGCAGGGGTGAGGGGAGTGTGGGATTAGAGAGGTATTATGGGGCATATGAGGGTGGTTAAAGAGGCATTATCCTGCGCACGAAGGGCGTAGAGAGGTTTTATGCTGCACATGGGGGCATAGAGAGGCATTATGCTGCATACGGGAGGTACTGGGAGGTACTGGTAGTGTAGTTACTACTGGGAGGTACTGGTAGTGTAGTTACTACTGGGAGGTACTGGTAGTGTAGTTACTACTGGGAGGTACTGGTAGTGTAGACTGCTATCATGGTGACAGGTAATGTGGATAGTTGTGTATGTATAGCTGGGGTGTGTACATCTGTGTGTGTGTGTGTGTGTGTGTGTGTGTGTGTGTGTGTGTATGTGTGTGTGTGTGTGTGTGTGTGTGTCTCTCTCTCTCTCTCTCTCTCTGCCAGCCTCCAAGGCTCTGCCTCTCCCCCAGCCTGGAAGGTGATGGGGGGAGATTATCACAAGTGGTATCGATAAGCCTCTGCGCGTGTTCAATCTCCAGTAATCATCATAAAAGAGCGCCGATTACGAACTACCTGGCGATTGATGGGGCGGTGGAGGGAGATGGAGAGGTCGGTGGAGATGGAGAGGTCGGTGGAGATGGAGAGGTGGGTGGAGATGGAGAGGTCGGTGGAGATGGAGAGGTGGGTGGAGATGGAGAGGTGGGTGGAGATGGAGAGGTCGGTGGAGATGGAGAGGTCGGTGGAGATGGAGAGGTGGGTGGAGATGGAGAGGTCGGTGGAGATGGAGAGGTCGGTGGAGATGGAGAGGTGGGTGGAGATGGAGAGGTGGGTGGAGATGGAGAGGTGGGTGGAGATGGAGAGGTGGGTGGAGATGGAGAGGTCGGTGGAGATGGAGAGGTGGGTGGAGATGGAGAGGTGGGTGGAGATGGAGAGGTGGGTGGAGATGGAGAGGTCGGTGGAGATGGAGAGGTGGGTGGAGATGGAGAGGTCGGTGGAGATGGAGAGGTCGGTGGAGATGGAGAGGTGGGTGGAGATGGAGAGGTCGGTGGAGATGGAGAGGTCGGTGGAGATGGAGAGGTCGGTGGAGATGGAGAGGTCGGTGGAGATGGAGAGGTCGGTGGAGATGGAGAGGTCGGTGGAGATGGAGAGGTCGGTGGAGATGGAGAGGTCGGTGGAGATGGAGAGGTCGGTGGAGATGGAGAGGTGGGTGGAGATGGAGAGGTCGGTGGAGATGGAGAGGTCGGTGGAGATGGAGAGGTCGGTGGAGATGGAGAGGTGGGTGGAGATGGAGAGGTCGGTGGAGATGGAGAGGTCGGTGGAGATGGAGAGGTCGGTGGAGATGGAGAGGTGGGTGGAGATGGAGAGGTCGGTGGAGATGGAGAGGTCGGTGGAGATGGAGAGGTGGGTGGAGATGGAGAGGTCGGTGGAGATGGAGAGGTCGGTGGAGATGGAGAGGTCGGTGGAGATGGAGAGGTCGGTGGAGATGGAGAGGTCGGTGGAGATGGAGAGGTCGGTGGAGATGGAAGATGGGAAGGTGGAGGAGGATGGGCAGTTTGATGACTGTATTATCTGCTATTCTTTTCCTATCTTTCAAAGTCATAGTCATATTTATATCTTCAACGGGAGAAATGTTCAAAGGCTACTGTGGTCTGTGCTGGCGTACGAGCCTTTTGGCAGGTCTGTAGACTCGTTCACAGCCTCCTTTGTTTCCTCGGTGTTTATTAAATTATCAGTCAGAATTCCCTTTTGTACATTTATAACGGTTCACCACGTGAGGCGGGGCCAAAGAGCCAGAGCTCAACCATCCTGCAAGCACAACTTGGTGAGTACCAGGCCTTCAGTTTCACCTCCTTCGAAGTCCTGTGAGTGAGTGCGTGAGTGAGTGCGTGAGTGCTTATTTCCCTTAATAACATATCTTTATCAGCCATTTCCCCTCCCGCCAAAAATACCTTGGGAGAATGTTGGTGTTGTAACCGAGTCACAATACTCGTAACTCACTCGAGATCAAATCACCCGTAATAATATTAACCCGTTCTGTTGATAATAGGAATTTCAATCTTAGGCGTCGTTTTAACTCTATTTGGTGACGTTGAGAAATTATTGGCATAGTTATATAAAAATGGTCACATTAAAGATGGTGGTTTTGTTGGGGGTGGTGGTTGTTGGTGGGGGTGGTGCTGGTAGTGGTGGTAGTGGTGGTGGGATGGTTGAGTCACGTGAGAAATAGGGACCACCAGCATCACCTCCACACTCGCTAAACATGTCTCGTTAATGATCAAATTGCTCCATTTGGCTCCCATGGAACCATAGCCGTTCGAAGGCTACCCTTAGCCTTGACACCTCGCCCTCCTTCCTCTCTTCCTCCAGCTCCAAATTCTTCAGTTCTCTCAACTTTCCTGCTTCGCCTCACCTTGCCTGTCTTCTCTCACCTGTCCTTCACCTTCCTGTCGCTGGATGGAATGGACTTGAGAACATAAGAACATAAGAACAAGGCAACTGCAGAAGGCCTATTGGCCCATACGAGGCAGCTCCTATCTATAACCACCCAATCCCACTCATATACATGTCCAACCCGCGCTTGAAACAATCGAGGGACCCCACCTCCGCCACGTTACGCGGTAATTGTTCCACAAATCAACAACCCTGTTACCGAACCAGTATTTACCCATCTGTGAGGTACAATATCCTGTACCCTGGACGGGTTCCTCAGGACGGGTTGAGTGCTTGTCTAAGAAGATTCGATCCTAATCAGCTGAGAGTCATTTAGAGAAACCATCCACATTTGGCAGGACGATCTCGTAGCTTGTCAATTCCTTCAGAAGTTAGTTCATTATTGGAGATTTATTATGTCCAAATTGCGACTAATATCATCAAGTCACTGGTGGCGTAGTGGTAACACCAGTCGCCCTGGGCTAGCAAAGCGAATTGCTCTTGGTTCGAGTCGTGACCAGGGAGGATTGACTGAGCACCAATCCTCAATTGTTCGTTCCAGTTCACCCAGTGGTAATTGAGTAGCTTGTTGTTAACTGACAGGCTCGGGTCGTGTCCCAGGAGGAAACTAGTGGTAAGGCGCCTGACAGCTGGGTGGACAGCGCTTCGGATTCGTAGTCCTGAGGTTCCGGGTTCGATCCCCGGTGGAGGCGGAGACAAATGGGCAAAATGTTTCTTTCACCCCTGATGCCCCTGTTACCTAGCATTGAATAGGTACCTGGGAGTTAGACAGCTGCTACGGGCTGCTTCCTGGGGGTGGAGGCCTGGTCGAGGACCGGGCCGTGGGGACACTAAAGCCCCGAAATCATCTCAAGATAACCTCAAGAAGAAGAAGGCTCTCAGCATGCTGACAGGAGTCAGACGTCGCGTATTCCTGTACCTCCTTGTACAAACACAATATAAATACTTGTAGTATAAATTTGACGTATATATATATATATCATAGAGACGGAAAGTGTAGGAGACGCTGTTGGACACTCCTTGTGAGACAGACGTCGTGTGAGTTAAGGTCTTGTGAGACACAGACGTCGTGTGAGTTAAGGTCTTGTGAGACACAGACGGTCGTGTGAGTTAAGGTCTTGTGAGACACAGACGTCGTGTGAGTTAAGGTCTTGTGAGACACAGACGTCGTGTGAGTTAAGGTCTTGTGAGACACAGACGGTCGTGTGAGTTAAGGTCTTGTGAGACACAGACGGTCGTGTGAGTTAAGGTCTTGTGAGACACAGACGTCGTGTGAGTTAAGGTCTTGTGAGACACAGACGTCGTGTGAGTTAAGGTCTTGTGAGACACAGACGGTCGTGTGAGTTAAGGTCTTGTGAGACACAGACGGTCGTGTGAGTTAAGGTCTTGTGAGACACAGACGGTCGTGAGAAGTAAGGAGTCCGCCTGGTGACTCCCATAAGAAACTCCTCATACTTCCATTACAAGTTAATTACAATCTCCTGGTAGTGTTGGACACCTCGCTGTCCTTCTGCTGATGGCGGCAACGTTCACTCTTTTCCAATAACCTTTCTTTGTCGGGCTCTTTTTTTGTGCTCTACTTTCTCCGCCATGACTGAGGAAAGATGTACAGGTTTCGTAAGTGGACTGGAAGGTGCATGGCGAATCCTGGCTCCCTGGTAATCCAAAGGTTGGAAGCAAGAGTTTTAAAGTGACCATTGTTTTGGTCGAGGTTCAACCAGCAGGTGAAGTTGTTCAGGTGTAACAGTTCACAGTTCATCAAGTATTTACTAAACTTGTATGTATTGTATTCTCTGTATTCAACAGGTACTGAATTGATATGCCTTTATTTGATATGACTAACAGGTATTTACCTGTTAGTCATATCAAAGATCATATATCATATCATATGGTCAAAGGTCATATCATATCATATCATATCATATAGTCATTTACCAGTCACAGTGGCAACTGTGACACAGTATAGACACATTCCAGCAGATCACAGTTCCCCCTGGAAGCTTGTGCTAGGGCTTCCTAGGCGCCCCTAGGGCCTAGGACAACTCCTGACCTCCCCCAGGAGGCCAAGTCCTGGGGGGCGAAAGGTCTTGCATATA